TGGTGCTTAGGGACATGGTTTACTGGTGGAAGTGGCAGTGTTGGGTTAAGGGTTAGACTCAATGATTTTAAGTGTCTTTTCCAACTGAAATGATTCTATGATTGTATCTAAAATAAGGACCAAATTCCATTCCCTGCTGCAGCAATGCAGAGTCACAGTCTTCAGCAGAGAATCAGGGTTTTAAAGAGGAGAGCTCTGGAATGTGACCCTCTTCATGGACAACAGCTTAAATTTTAGTTCCCCTAACTGGAACAGTGCTTGAAGGTATATATAGGTGAGGGAGTCAGTGTTAGGATTAACTCTTTCAGTCTGCACTATATATTTGTAAGTTTCCATATGCATCATTTACGTAGTAAGACTTGAAATGGTAAAGTGCCAAGGAAAGGAAATAGAGGAGGCTTTCAACTCTGTCAGAGGACAAGTCCATGGAGAAAGCCCTAAGGCAAAACGTAGTGGAGAAAGCTTGAATTTAAGGAAGGAGAAGACATAACCTAAAGAAAAATGCAGTCCAGAATGAGGAACTTCTAATATTGTCCCTTGAATATCAGGTATCTGAAGTACTCTGGTTCAAAAAAAAAATTAAAAAAAATCACTGCCTATCTGTATCTTCCAGCATCTGAACTCTTTTTGTAAAAAAGTACTTGATCCTTTAAGAATGAGAAGACTTTTAGAATTGTTTCACAGAAATCTTTGCACAAAAATAATGTGATCATAAGATCGGGATTTGCTAGCTATTTAACAGCTATGCAGGAAGACATGCCTTCAGATTTTAAATGACAATTGTAAAATACTGAAACAAAGCTGGTTACAGTTGTTTTCTTCCCGTAAGGTTACAGTAATACAGATTCAGCAAATACCTACTTGACCTCAGATGGTGAATACTCACTTCATGGCTACATTATCCACTCTAATGACCACCTTTGGCCTCTCTTCACAAACTTGGAGTCTGCTGTCAAAGAAGGCAGCAGGCAGAACCATCGAGCCTTCGGAAAGAAAGCAGAGGATTTATTTAAGGTAATGTAAACTCTTACTAGTATCAAAACTAGCTGTGAGGAGCCCAGAACTGATCTAGGGGCAAATGGAGACTGGGCAGTCTCAGAAATGGTAGAAACAGAATGCAACTCGCTAGTCCCAGGCTTCTGTTCCCTTCAACTTTAGGCTCTGAAGTGCTGGAGCAATTGCAGAATATACTGGGAAATTCACGTGCTGATGAAAATTCTCTGGCTAGTGTTGCCCGTCCAGCTAACACACTCTCAGAACAACCTGTGGGACTGTTTAATTTACATTTATGTGGTCTTTTATAACACCAGGTAGTACCTTATCACGCATGCACTCCTTCCGTATTGGATGCCAATCACTTGATACTGGTGGGCATTGAGTTCAACCTGTGCTGATGGTGTAATCAAAGCTGCCCTGTGTTGATGCAGTGGAGAAAGGGGTTCAGTCTCTTTTATGAAGGTTTGTAGCTTTGTCTATGCTTCAAGCTGGTATATATTGCTGATCAGAATTGTAATCGTTTCTTCCATCTGTTTCCATCTCTGTAGCATTACTTTTCCACTGCTAGCCCAGGTGGATGTGTTTCAGACTGGAGAATCACTTAGCTATAACCGCTGTGTCAGTTACCCAGCTGGTGACGCAGGTTGCAGGGCATAAATATTTGTGCCTGTTCAAGGAGAGGGCTAGTAGAGTAAGCAGGAGAATATGTCAGGACTTCATCTCTAACAGCAGTGCTGACTTAAAGTATACTTCAGACTGCATCCTGATGTTCTTAATTTGTATGTAACTTCTAGATGCTGATGAAGCCAGTCTCCTAATTAACGTGTCTACATCCCTCATGTACAGTCGATGGAAGGAAATAGGGGCTTTTAGAAACTTAAGAAGGTCCTGTTAGCCTAATGTTAATACCTAGATTACTGGTGGATAGAACCTCCTTTAGGAATCCTTCAAAACATCTTTTAAAGGGAGTTTAGAAACTTTGCTTTAGGAGAGATACTGCAGTAGATGCTTCAATTTATGTGCAAGTGAAATGTTTTAATGTAGGTGAACCGGATCTCATCTTTTGTTAAACATCTGGATTACCAACTTGAGTTTGCTTGGGTGATGGTTGCGGCAGGAATCACTACCAGTTCAGGCCTGGGCTCCATATGTGTACAAGATAGTATGTCGAAGCAGAATATATGGGCTGCCTATGGCACTGTGCATACCACAGCCATGGTAACTGTAAAGCCAGACATAACTGATGAAGTCTGTATGAAAGTGAGACATGAAGGGAGTCATGCTTGTGTATCATCTCAAAGGTAAAGGCATGCGGTTCTGGTACTGAATGCTTGCATCTCACCTAATCAAAAAGCCCAGTATGAGCTTTAATGTTTCTGGTTTAAGTTATGGTCCAGTCATCTAATTATTTTCCTATCGTGGGAGAATAAATGTCAGAATTAAATGAAAGCAATTTGTGAGTATATCAAGAAGGAGGAACACTTTAGGAGACTGAAAGAAAAAACTCTCAATCTGTCCTTTCAAACACTTTAAAGTCTGGAGACATTTTCCTGTGGAGCAAATGTGTTAGTAAATGTATATCAAAGCCACAGTATTTCTTTAAAAAGCGCTTTTCAGATTACCCCTTCTTCCTGCTCTGCTGCCTCAGCTTCAGTGGGAGGAAGTGTTGAATTTAACAGCCCTTGGGACATCACCAAGAACAGATTCAAACCAGGCAAGTGTATGCCCTTTGAGACACACTGCAAAAGACGTCTGTCTGATCAGAATTTTGGAGAGGATGCAAAAATCTGCTTATCACTACAGTGAAATAGCAAATGTCTTGGATGAGCAACTAGTCAATGCCACTTTGAACTGATCTTTTAATTTTAGAATTCTAATGGTGTGCACCTGCTGCCTTGGTTGTACATAGTCTTAGTTACGTAATGAAAATAAACTTCAATTAAGGTGCTTTTTTTCCCCTTTTTAGGACTATTATCACAGCCAGGAGGTAAAACAGCGTTTTATGGCTGCCATGCACAGCATTGCCCACCTGACAGCAAGAGATGTGGCTACAGCATTTGATCTTTCACAATTTAAATCTGCTTGTGATTTAGGAGGTATTGCCTGTAACTGAATTTGATACAAATTAAAGGGAAAAGCTTGATTTCAGTTCTATATTTCGTTAGTTAAAACGTGTATATTTTTTACTAGAACTGCAGTAATATTATTTACTGTTACTTTTCTGATATTGTAATGTCAGAATAAAAGGACTGAGTGCAGTTAACTGAAAGCAGAGTTACTTAAATGGTACTTGAGTAGTTTGAAAAAAGTGAATGTTTGTCACAATCAGTTACATACTGACACAGCTCAACACAGAAAACAAGGTGGTTTGAGGCTGAGCTGATAGGACATTGGCCTGGGAACTCCATTTTCAACTGTGCTGTTACTGTCCTTTGGCATGTCCAAGATTTTCTAAAGTAATGAAGGATTTATTTCTGAAGCCTTCTATATTGGTGTCTCAAACTTGAAACACTGCACTGCTAGAACAAAGTTTTGATTTTTTTATAATTGTCTTGTGTTTCTTTGATTATTAATATCTGGTGATATTAAGGTGACCACCAAAATGTTGAAGACTAATGATACACCTGGTTAGGGTCCTTTTTTGCCCTGTGCTTGAGTTGTACAGAGGGAGCGTTATTACACAGGGAAAGATCCACTGAAGAAAAAGCACTTATTGCCAGGGGAGGTGGAGAGCAATGTCAGAGGAATTAACACAATACTGGTGCAACCTTTGCCACTTGTACAGAGACTCCAAGACTTCACTATCCCTGTCCTTCACCATGCTGGAGAGTATTTGTCAAATGTTGTATATCAGTTCTTTGTAAATGGTAAAGAGTTGTAGTGCTCTTCATCCACAAATTACAAGACCTTGCTCTTTCATTAATGGTATTCTACCCTCAAAAAACCCCTGAGGTACTGGTATCAAAGGTCATATTAGCAATTCTATGACAGTAAGGAATTGTGTCTGTATTCCCCAAGCTTTAAAGTGTTGCTCTATCTACCAGGAAGTGCTATTGCCATGTTAATTGTGGAGCTGACTGTCTACCTCTAATTATGATGTCTCTATTTTAATGTTATTTACAGCCTTGTCTTTAAAAAATTGTGCAAATGCTGGGAGAAAAGATTTGATTTGACATTTCTAAACTTTCAACAGGTTGCACTGGAGCTCTGGCTCATGAATTAGTACAAATATACCCAAATCTCAAGGTCACAGTATTTGACCTTCCAGAAGTCATTGCAAACATCTCTTACTTTCAGCCTTCAGAACAACACACAGCTCCAGTGACATTTGTATCAGGTAAATGTAGCACATGACCTTTTGTCTCATTTCTGTTACCCTGGAGCACAGAGCAAGTACTTTTGCTGCAGAAAATGGCATGCTACGCTGCTCCCACCCCAAACACGTGTCTTGGTACAAGGCAATGTAGACTCACCCATGCTAAATGGGGACACTATTTCTCAAGCCTGTGGGGATAAAAACAAAATTGGCTATGGTTGGAGGATGTGGATAAATAAGGAAGTATGAATTAGTTGTGTTTGAGTACCACTTGGAGTAGAGGCTGCATGTCCTTTTCTCAGGCTTTGCTTTTCTAGGCAAGATCAACACAGTGGCTACAAAGGACTTTGATGTCTCCTTCCTTGCTTTAGACTTCTTCACCATTTTGATAGGTTACAGGGTTCTGACCTGTGATCTGCTCTTCTCTTTAACTACGCTTTCCTTATGTGCAAATCGGTGCGTACCTATACCTGTTCATTCTTGTTTCTTTCTTTACCACTGCTGAAGCTCCTAGTTCCTCTGCAATACTTTCATTTCATTTTGTAGGAATGTACTCTGTGGTTTCTGTAGGAATGTACTAACTCTGCTTTCCAACAGGTGACTTCTTCAAGGATAATCTTCCAGAAGCAGATCTTTACATCCTTTCACGTGTTCTTCATGACTGGCCTGATGAAAAGATACATGTGCTGTTAAGCAAGATATCAGCTGTTTGCAAACCAGGTACGTTTTTCATCTTGGGGGTTTAAAGGTGCATGTTAATGCATAAACATAATGAGTAATCATAAGAAATTCATATTAAAAAAGCATATTTTTCAGTCCTGTCATAGTAGCCTTTGCTTGAATGTCTATGCTTGCATTATGGTAATACCTGCTAAGAAAAAAAGGAAACAAAGCTGCTAATGAAACTACAAAATAAGACCTTACTATAGTCATCTCCCCGATCTCTGCCATGCCCAGTCTTTCTTACTAAGCCCTGAATCATCAAATAACTAAACATCTACTTATTTCTATACATACATGTAGCCTAACTAAAGTTCCTTTACATTGATCAAGAAGCAGCAGTTTGTTTTGCTATCTCAGTAGTGCCCAGAATATCGTAAACTGGAGTTCAGTGCTACTTTATGCACAGATTTCATGAAAACTATGTAGCCTTTTCTGCTTTCTCCTACATTTGAATCACAGAGTATCTCAAGTTGGAAGGGACCCATAAGGATCCTCAAGTCCAACTCCTTGCTCCTCACAGGACTGCCTAAAACTAAACCATATGACCAAGAGCATGATACAGACACTCCTTGAGCTCTGACAGGTTTGGTGCTGTGACCACTTCCCTGGGGAGCCTGTTCCAGTGACCGACCACTCTCTCAGTCAACATAGAACCTTTTCCCAATGTCCAATCTGAACTTCCGCTGATGCGGCTTCATTCCATTTCCTCGTGTCCTATCACTGGTCACTAGAGAGGGGAGATCAGCACCTCCCCCTCCGTTGCCTACCTTGAGGAAGTTGTAAATGGCAATGAGGTCTCCTCTCAGCCTTCTCTTCTCCAAGCTGAACAAACCAAGTGACCCCATAAGTCTTGCCCTCGAGACCTTTCACCATCTTGGTCACCCTCCTCTGGACACACTCTAATAGTTTGATGCCCTTCTATTGAGGCACCCAAAACTGCTCGCAGTACTTGAGGTGGGGCCACACCAGTGCAGTGTTGGGTGAGACAGTCACCTCCCTCAACCATCTGGCTATTCTGTGCTTGATGCACCCCAGGACGTGGTTGGCCCCTCTGGCTGCCAGGGCACACTGCTGGCTCATATTTGGATAGTATTAAAGATCAAAGGAGAAGCCAAAAACCAGAAAAGCCTGACTGCTAAAATCAACTGATTCCTTCATACAACAGGATTAATTGTAGCTATGAAGTTTGTTTCATAGGAGAACATTCAAAGTTAGATCTAGGCCATAAAGCTTGATCCTGTTTACAAATTATGAAAGAAAATTGTCAGTGACTGTCTTAATCTTTGTTTGCAAAGACTGGGGTATGACAGGTGCTTACAGGAGTTGCTTGATTCAAATGGTAACAAGACTGAGTTTAAATACATAGTCAGGAAGTGATCTGAACTTCACTGGGGACAGTGCTCTAACTGCCTCCTTCCTTTTAACAATCAAATGGTTGCTTCCAGGGAGAGATTATTGAAAGTAAAGTTCTGTCACTGATTTCCTCTGAAGACCATTAAAACACTAGTCTGAGAACCTCTATAACTGTCTCTGAACAAAATGATAAAAACTTGAAGCTAGAAATACTTTTCTGAACCACTTTTGGTTGTTTTGGAAATGCAGGAAGTGCCTTGCTAGTGGCAGAACTTGTGCTTGATGAACAGAAGACACACCCTCCCAGAGCTGTACTACAGTCCCTCAGTATGACTGAAGGCAAGCAGAGAAGTGGCTCAGAATATAAACAACTACTGGAGAAATACAGCTTCACAAATGTACAAATTAAGATCACAGGAAACCTATTAGATGCTGTTTTGTGCGTCAAGAAGAATCTGTCACCGTAGTGCGCCCAGAAGCAAACTGGGACACTGAGTTTTTACAACACTTGTGCAATATTCCCATCATCAACCAGTATATATTGTCAGTTCCGGATAGTTTTGACTCTTTATCCGTAGCATAGTTGTTACAGGCCTTGAATAAAAGTTGGACTGCAGCTTCTGCAGGAGAGAGTTCTATGCATTTAAAAAGTGTCTGGGACAGGCTGAAACTCCTATGTGTTAAACACCTTCATGTCCAGTTCTTTTGGCTAGTTTTGCAGATGGTATTAAGCTTAGACTTGACATAGCTGTATAGCGTAGCAAGTTAAAACTACAAGCTTTTATGAGCCACGTTAATACATTGGTTTTCTTGGATCTTAAAATTAAAGCAAATTCTCCCTCTGCAGTGTACTCAGTGGTTACTGCTCATTTTTATCAGAAATGAAAAAATAAAAATGAATAATATACTGTGAGACGTAATTTGGGGATGCCAGTCCTCTTTTTTACTTTTCTGTGGGGCTTCACTCTAAAACATCTCAAGGATACTCTTTTAAAGCACTTTTTCCATGGGCAAAAGTGAAAACAGGACAAAGCTCAAAGATGTTCCTACAGCAGCTATGTCACAGAGAACTTGAGCAGCCTCTGACCTCCAGCCACAGGATGTACCCACACAGGCTGCAGTTGAGAGCTGTTCCTGTCAGTTTCTATCAGTTTGGGGTTTTTCTGAATATGGTTAAATGGCCATATATAGTTTCTGTCTCATTACTTGAGATGAGTTTTAGGATTTATGTATAAATTCTCTTAGGAAAATTAAAAGTAGAAGTTTCTTCATGTTCCAGTCTTTAATTGGAGAAGTACATACTGTATCCCATCCCTTCAATTAATTTGTCACTAATGTCAGCTTTCCTAATGTTTATGTTTTTCCTGATACCACATTGATATCCCTGGAGGTGTTCAAAAGACTTATAGATGTGGTGCTTAGGGACGTGGTTCAGTCGTGGGCTTGGTAGTGTTAGGATAATGTTTGCAACCTGATGATCTTAAAGGTCTTTTCCAACCTAAATGATTCTATTCTATTGTATGATATTTATTTTTTCTATTTAAAGTGTACTTTGTAGTGGAAGCCTTCCTGAAGATTAAAGTTGCACTTTCAAACGAGTTTTTTTCCTGTTATCAGTTGTTACTTTCTTGCCTGTCACACTTTTACAGCAATAATCCCAGTAAGCCAGCGTGAAAGAGGCCATGCTTATGCAGAATCACCAGCCTCAGAGAACTGATGAGCAAGGTCAAGAAAGAGTTGCTTCTGTCTGGTAGACTCTGACTTGCGTTACTTAATCAGAAGTTACTTTGCTCTTTGAGCAGCAAGCAAAGCAAAAGTGCCACGGTGATTCAATTCATCATGAGAAACATGCTTACTACAGAGCATTTCAGCTGCACAATATCAGGGCAATGCCAGACTTTTACCACGTTGGGCTTTGTAATTCTTAGCAGAAGGTTTTTTTGAATGGAAATTGGCTGATCTCATACTGACATTTAAAGAGATAAGGCAAAATATTCAACAACTGAATAAATTAAAAAGATTTATTTTCCATATTGATATGAAGTTTTCTGTTATGCTTAACAGGTTTGTGTTTGAGAGACTCATTCCAGCAATGAGATGTTTCTCATCTCATAAAGTTCATAATGCTGTTCTTCAAGCTGCCATAAGCTGTTTGAGTCAGAAAATTTCAGTCCTAAAGTTGGCACGTCTGTAACTGTCACTGACTTTAAAACTGTGCCTCTAACCACCAAGGATCTGCCTGTCAGATTTGAATAGGAAGTGCCTGGCTACCACACCGCCTCAATGGTACTCTGTGGTTAAAGCACAACACTGTATACACACATTAGTCCCCTGGGCATGGTGTCTGTGGGTAATGCACTGAAGCTTTGCACTCTCAGGATAATTAAGCATTGGAGCAGGTTGCCCAGAGGCTCTGGAATCTCTGCTCTTGGCATTTTCAAGACCTGAGAACAAGCTGAGCTGACTGTGGAGCTGCCCTGCTTTGAGCGGGAGGTTGGACTAGAGATGCCCTGTGGTCTATTTCAGCATAAGCTGTTCTATAATCATTTGACATAGCCCAGGCAGCTGAGAAATAATAATAAACTCATCTTCTCTCACTAATGTCCAAATTCGGTTTTTCAGTTGCTCTAGAGAAAGCTGGTATCTTTTGCTGACTGGTAGAAGGGGTGGACTTAATGGTGTTACACTGCAAAGACTTCCTAAGCGATAGGTATAACTGGGGAGAATTTGGGCCTGTTCACTGATCAAGACATGAAGAACGAGGGGGCTAAGTTTTAAAATGTAAATGAACTTCTGCCAATAAAGCCTGTAGTTTTGTGTTGCTCCTTGGGATGTGACATGCAGCTATGCCTTCTTGAGAATGCTTTTACGCACATTCTGCCTTAACAACAGTGTAGAGGAAATGTGATGTGCAGAAACCAATTTTTTTGAGGTGGAGAATCGTGGGGGTTAACAGAATGATAGATGAATAACAAACAAGAACTTCAGCACTTGCTTACTGAGCACTGATGTAAGAATCCTTGAGGAAGACAGAAGTTTGTAAGAGAGACAAGTTGGTTGGCTGTCCTAGCTCAATCATTTTTATATCAATTTTTGACCTTGTTATAGCAAGTAATGGGACAGAAGCAAAGGGTAGCACGTCATCTGAGCCGCCCAGCGCAAAAGCTTAGGAAGAGCTATTTAATGGCTAAGCCCCTTTGTGTGAGCTCTCAGTTTGGTTTTGGATGTGTTGGCTGACCTCTGGATAGTGGAAGTATTTAATGTGGGTCTTTGTTTTGTTTTTAAAAAAAGGTTTTGGAGGGCTGGCAGTTTACTGCCCACCCCACCCCCAGTCTCTTGGCTGGAAATTATGTTCTTGCTAAACAATGATAATCTGGATTAGATGAGTTTCTAATTCAGAAAAGACTGTTATGACCATTAATTTTTATCTCCTATAAAATCATTGCCAAAATATCTTCATCAAAGTATCCTTCTTGAAAGTGTTGAACATTAGCTCTGTTTCTCTCCCTCTCATGACATTTCAATTACATTAGTAAATCTTCACTAACTATAGAGAGATTTTTCTTTCCTTTTCCCTGTACTAACTTAATACACTGTGTCTAATTTTTGGCAGTGTTCTTCCCACATTGGTTGTGCTTTCTGGGTATATTTTTCCAGAATACCCTGATGTTAACCAGATGTCCCAAATAACTTTCCATGGTAAATTATAACGACCGTGCTATTTGTGTCCTCTTTTTGGAATGTACAAAATTTGGACGTCATCTTCCAAAGCTGTCATGTAATGGTGACTTAGAAATGAGAGTCCTGCATTACTCTACCTAGCGATGTTTGCTGTGCAACCACGAACAGCAGTTCCCAGGTCTTTCTGTTGAAGGCAGAGAATCATGTGTGAAGCAGGGGAGAGAATAGAAATGGGCTTCATCAGCACAACTTTAGATACCTAAATATTAGGCATTCAAATAATCTAGTCACCTTGAGCTCTCCAGTCAGTAGAAAAACAGGCATTTTCAGAGGATGATTTGTCTCACCTGTCTGTGAAAGGAAATGTCATGTTTTTCCTAAGAAAAGTGATTATATGTTTCATAGTGGACAGAGCATCTTTAAGAGGGCAAGCTGAAATACAGCGATGTAATCTATGAGTGACTTGAATTAGGGCAGACGAGTCCATCTGGACAGATGATGTAGGTCCAGGCTCACCTCAGACATGCTTGGCTAATCCGTTCTCATTCTGAAGCAAACCTGTGCCATAGGTTCATCACAGCGTAGGTGGCTTGAACTTGCATTTACTAAAGTAGCTGATGATATGGGGAAGAAACAGGGAATTTATTAATAAGCTGTCAGAAGGACTTTCATGACTCCTGATGGTTAACACTGAGGTCTCCACCAGCAATTTCAGCTGCAGATCTCAATCTCTTCTCTAAGAAACTGCAGTTATGTTTACTTTTTATTAATTGTTAAATGCCTGAGGTGTACGGATAGGAATGGCTCTGAGGAGATTGTCTTGAGGGTCAGAAAGATATGAATGTTATGCAGCACTTAGTAGTACTAAAATCACTGTAAAATGCTATTTTGATCCGAGTTGGTGGCCTCCTACCCCCACCATGCCAAGAGAAACCACCACATCAGATGCAAGGCCAAAAGACAATGAATAAAACAGTGCTTGTTTGTCAGTACTCCTTTCTTGTCTTCCCTTTCCCCTCACGGGTCTGAAGATGGAGGAAGAGGCTGTGTGTAAGCAGGATCATTAAAGTTCTCTTTGCATCCTTAGGCCTGTCCCACCACAAAGGCCTCAGTTCCTACAAAACAAGTACAACATCGATGACTTCTCTGCTTCTGTAATGCTTGCCATCCACCATTTTGTCTCCTTGGCACCATTTCAGTATGAACGTGAAGCAGCAATATACCCCAAAGAGATTTAACTACTATTCCCGTCTTACTGTTTTCCATAATCCTCATGCCAAGCCTACAGAATTCATCCCCTCTTCCCCTGAAAACACAGAGGTGGACTTGACTGGTGTTTGATCCTTCCATAGTGCAGAAGGCAGTTTCCCTGGGTTTTGTGAGAAGAGTGGATTAGTAATTTAATAGCAGAGCAACTCCATAAATGATAAAGGAAATCACCTGTGTCTTGTAGTTTGCAGAAATTCCTTGCCTGATAATGGATTAGTACTGTTGCATGCATTTGTTTTTAAATTAGGCTGTGGGATTCTGCTGGCCGAAATGGTATTGGATGAGGAGAAGAAGAACAGGAGCACAGCTCTGCTGCAGTCTTTGAACATGCTTGTGCAGACAGAGGGAAAGGAGAGAAGTGGCTCCGAATATCGAGACTTACTGGAACAACATGGATTCACAAATGTCAAAATCAGATTGACAGGAAATATGTTAGATGTTATTCTCTGTGTTAAGACCTAGAAAAAGATGGATTTAGGAGTAAAATCTGGATGTCTTGAGTCATGTTTGATGTTTCCTAATTATGCAAATACATTTTTGGTTTCCCATCAGTATCATAAAAGAGAAATGTTATGTCAGCTTTCTGAACTTACTTTTAAAAAAGAGGAGAGATTGATTGTAAATCTTTTTAGCTTGAGTAAAACGATGCCAGAAGATTCTGGCTTCATTTGATGGCAGCACTACGGTGGCTGCACAACACTTGTAGTACCCTCAGGTACAAGTCTCCCACCACAAGTGGTGTCGGCAGCCCTACAGCAGTAATCATGTTGCTGAGAAATCACGGTTTCTTCATACTTGGTGCAATTAGAAATACTCCAGTTTTTAGACCAGCACACATTGCTTTGCCCATTTCAGGACGTTAATGCAGGTGTTGTTTCAATACTCCATCACACCCATTTTAATACTGTTTTATGTTACACTCCCTTCTGTAAATAAACAAACTGTCTAATGAAGTCTGGAAACTGCTACCGCAGTGGTGTAGTCAAGCTTGGAAACAGAGAACTGGAGCAGCAGCTTCTCAAGAGAGTCAAGGCAGACTCCTCTGCCTTCTGTGAGGTTTCTGGAAAAAGGCAGTTGCATAAAAGCGCAAGTTTCATCTGTGATTATAATTGGAGATTAAATGTGGGGGCGCCTCATTTGGTTCAAGAACATCCTCCTCCTTTTTAGCCCTACTTAATTTGTGAGCTCTTACAAAAGTGGATAGCAGAATATGAGATTAGATGAAGAACAGAAAAGGGAAAAAAAAAGTCCAAAACCAGAAGGAAAAGCATGGTGCTAAAGAGAAAAGGATTTCCCCCCGTCAGATCCCTCTGAGCTCCCAAGCTGAACGGGACAGGACAACTATTGACTGAACAGTTTCAGGTCACAAAAGTTGTGTATATTTTACCTTCTTTTTTCAAACCGAAGACAATTCAGAGTCCCAGAGTATGAAGTTCTTTTTTAATCAATAGAAAATTTTATAGAGAAAAAAAAACACCACCCAGCCTTGCACACATTGTGTTGTGCTGTGGGAGTATTAACATTCAGTGATGAGCTTTTTTAAAAAAGAAAAATACCACGCTAAGCATCTGCCCAAGAATATCACCGCAGCCGTTCATTAACTGCATCCAAAATACGGTCCGGTAGCGCTGTATGTGCCAAACCCTGTGTGCACACGGGAGGCACTTCACTGTATCTGCATTGCGATTTAGAGTACAAAATAGCACACAATTTACTTTTGATGTGCAAAAAGCCACCAGGCATAGTGACGTGTGCTGGGTATTACTGTATGGTACTTCAGCAGACAAAGGCTACGCCCAGCACACGCTGTTCTCACAACATGCCCTCCGAGAGAGACGCTCTCATTCTGAAATCCTGCGAAGTACACACACGTGTAAGGAGTGGTTTCGGACACCTCAGCTACTGCAACTTTGTGGTTCACCAGTCATCCGTTTAAAAAAAAATGTTCGGCTTGATTTACTTTTGTAGGAAACATCCATTAAAAGTGAGAGCAGTAAAGGTGCGGGTGAACTAACGCCCTCCAGCTAGGACGGTCGCAAGACTTGCTTTTTTAGAAATAATGGGTATAATTTTAGGCAGGAGTTTGGCCACTAGGTGTAAAATTTCGCTTTCAGCATACAATAAAACCAGCAGAAACCACTGACGGAGACCAGGCCTGCCTTTGCAGGGCAGAGGCCCTGCCGGGGCAACCAGCCGAAGAGCTTTTCACGGCGCCTAACTTTGAGTGGCCCGCCAAGAACCTGGGACCACCCTGCCCCGCTGTCCCTCCGGGGAACGGCGGTTTCGTGCTCTCGGGTCAGTTCCGCGGCGGACAGAAAAGCCCGGCGATGTGACGCTCGGCACCGCAGTGGTGAGGGAGAGCAGGCGGGAACAACCGGGGAACGCGGGGCGGCGGCTTGCCGGGCTGT